TTAAATAATTATTTAGTAATCAAACAATATTTAAACATTGATTTAATTATTTGTTTTCATCAACTGGGATCCAAACAACTCTTTATCTTAAAGCTTTACAATCTGAACATGAACTATCTGTTAAATTTTTATTTAAAACTATATTCAGCTAACCTGACGGTAAACGTTATTGGTATAATTTACCAACCAATGTAGTAGATTGAAAATTTTACATAGTACCTTTAAGTACCTATATGTTTATATACCTACTACATTGGAATGAATGTGCACATATGATAAGATAATGGTAACTCCAAACTGATTCAAATTTGTTTCGCAAGATCTCAACAATAACTTAATGTCTATACTTCATTCTATCCAAACATAATTAGTTTCAAAAATAAGAAGATTATTATTTAGCTGTGTATAATATTTTGTCTGTTTCAAAATGATAATGATGAAATAGGTGTATGAACTGAAGAAAACAGCATGCAAGTCAATATTATTGCTAACCAAGTTTATTTGGAAACTTTCTTTTGCTGACTATATTATATACAAACAAATAAAAGTAAATATAATCCTTTTGAATATATCATTCTCTAAGTGTAACATAATTATTAGAAAGAAATTATTATCTATTTATTTATTATGATAATGCCTTAGAGAGCAAACAGAAGTATTGTTATTACTTATTTATTATTAATACAGATTACAGAACAGAACACTACAGAACTTGCATGATTTATAGATAGAAGTAATGCACAAGGTCAAGTTAGATTTTGCAATGGTTTTAACTTTTAACTCTTTCACGATACCGTGTCAATATTATACCTATAGATATCAAAACGTTCAATAAAATTAAGTCCAGATAGGTAGGCTAATAATTATGTATGACTTACGAAAACCCAGCTAAGGCAAACTGTTTAGATTTGTATAATTTGCATACTGCACAAGCTAGTGAATTTATAATTTAAAAACAATACTATAAAAGTTCAAATTTTCAAAAATTTAAAAGAAAATTATTAATAAATTAACGAAAAAATAAAAATTGAACATAATAGTATAGGTATTGTACATAACCTCAATTATTGTTTTTTGGTAATTTGAAGTGGTAAACTCATTAAACCAGAACTTCGGTTAGATTTAATAAACTTTTATCAAAACTGAATATTGATAAAGCGTGTTTTCACTAGTTTTTTGTTTTGTTTTTTACAGATTTTGAAAACTATTTGGACAATTACTTGAAAATTCTTTGAACTGATCATATAAATGGAATCTACATAAAATTCTCTATCGATAAATTTGACATTTAACTACTTCTTATTCTCCTATTCGAGATTAATCTTAGCCACAAACAGAAGACAGAACAGTTCTATTTCGAAAGTATAATATCTACATTTATCAATTTAACCTGCTTATTATTCAGCGGTGGTCAATTTTGAGATTTATCTTTTTAATACCACCTATATTAAATGCAGAACAAAACTAAGTTCGTTTTGAAGTTTTTGTTGTACCTATAGCTGGAACTATAGCTATTCGAAAATGTACATTTAGTTGACAATTATCAAAATAGTTTAATTATGGTTCCTAAATGTATTTGTAATGTGTATACTAGCATTTTCAAAGCTTAAATGCATATAATATTGTTTGACGATTGAAATAAAAATTGTATCAACTATCAAGTATCAATTATATAATGAATTGTTTATATATTTAAAACTCTACTTCGATTCTTATCGATGTTAATAACTAGGTAGGTACCTACCTACTTCTTACTACATGCGTAGGTAGATAGTTGCCAAAATGTTATAAATCAAAGTTTAGATGACGTTCATGTGTTCACTGCCATGTGCCTACAGTGTAATACATTATTATTTTTATTTTAATGTCCAAATTATATTTTCTTCTAAAACTTGTACTACAATACTATACACCAAATAGTTAGGTACGTTAAAAATATTAAATTTGTTTCCAGACTTAAAAAAAATATATTTATATCATTCATCATTGAGTATAGGTACTTATATTGTACAAAAATATATTATACTCAATGTTATCATTAATATTATCGATTATTAATATTATTTCACCTAATGGTAGAATAATCCAGGGGTTGACGTTCTTGAGCGCATAGAATGGAACCTATCTTGGTTCTGTATCGCAATAACATTTATAGTATTAGGTCGTAGAATCGTAGATCTTTATTGGTTAAATACCTAACAAATAACTTTTAAATATTCACAAATAACGCGAACCATTTTATTTTAAAAGCATATTTTTTTCAAACAAGCATACATCAACACCTATCAAACATAGGTACATCATACACATTATAACTATAGTTATTAAATAATTGCAACAAAAGAATTATAAAATTCGTGTGTAGTAGTGTTTTGGTAAGGGGTATAGGTATACCACCCAAGGATCAAGGTACAGTAGAGCACTAACGACCGGACGAATAATACAGTGAAACACTAACTAAGCATAAACGAATAAAAGATTTTTGGACCCAAAATTCAAAATCTAAATTAGCATGTCCTTAGAACCCCCTGTAGGAAATTCATATACAATTTTAAGGGATGGAGCACTAACGACGGGATAAGAAGCACTAACGTGCACTAACGAAGCACAAACGAATGAAATTTGTTTGGGCCCGAAATTCGAAATGGGGGGTGCAGGCATGTCCCCAGCACCCCCCTGTACGAAATGCGAATAACTTTGGAACGGATAAAGCACTAACGACGGGATAAAAAGCACTAACGTGCACTAACGAAGCACAAACGATCGCCCTGGGTTTGGGCCCGAATTCGAAATGGGGGGTGCAGGCATGTCCCCGGCACCCCCCTGTAGGAAATGCGAATAACTTTGGAAGGGATGAAGCACTAACGATGGGATAAAAAGCACTAACGTGCACTAACGAAGCACAAACGATCGCCCCGGGTTTGGACCCAAAAATCGCAATGGGGGGTGCCGGGGACATGGACCTAATACCTTTTGTTTTATTGGGAGATCAAGGATATCCACTAAAAGAATATTTGATGCGTCCATATCCATGGACCTCAAATTTGGATCCAGAAAAAGAAATTTTCAACTATCGCCTTAGTCGAGCCTGACGTATGATAGAATGTACATTTGGTATATTAGTATCAAAGTGGAGGTGTCTAAAAACGGAACTCCAAATAAATGAAGATCACGTAGACACAATAATTAAATGTATCTGTTTATTACATAACATAATTATCGATCAGGAAGGGGTTGATGATACGCTATTTGTAAATATTCATCAAACCAATACAGAAATTGAAATATCAAGACGAAACAATCGCTCTAAAACTGTAGCGTATGCAATACGTGATAAATTCAAAGAGTATTTTAATAATATTGGAGCTGTTCATTTTCAAAATTCCTAAGTCAGTAATATGAAATAATTTAACTTAAAAATAAATAAATTATATAGACTATAGGTTAACCTTTGATTTTAACTAGGTAGTCGGGTAGATAGATACCTACCTACCTAATTTAAGACTATTAATAATTTTTAAGATTTAAAATTAGGTTAACAGTATATTATACATATTACTTACATTTTACTATTGTATGAATTATGAATAATAAAAATTAATTTTTATACTAGTGTATTTTAATTTTAATACTCACTTTTAATTTCCATTTCTGCAGCTATTTCATCCCAAAGTTTCCTAATTATTTCTCTATTGTAGTAATGTTTTGATTTTTTATTCCACAAGGCATTGCGGTCATGAACTAAACTAATTAATTTTTCCGAATCAATCATTCTGATTCAAAAATTTAGTTTAAAAAGATACTCAAATTTAATTTTATCAAATCTGATCAAATATAAAATATTCAATAGGTACAATTGAAAACGCAGGTCCAACCACTCTAACTAGGTTCACGCAATTGAACAAAATGAACAACTAACAAGTATAGGTACTGTAAATAACTTGCAAGAAGAAATATACAAAAATAATTTTATAATCCAAAACAATTCTATATAAATAAATTATAATGGTAAAATATGGCCATTTTCGTCAATATGACGAAAATAGTTCATGCTGAAATAGACGCAGCGCATGGTGGATTCGGCCGGAAAAAACAAAATATTTTGTTTTTATCCGACGTCGGACGTATTCGGCCGAATAATTCGGACGTAATCTGACCACAACAATTACATTGCGGGATATTATTGTTTTCGGCCGAAGACGGCCGTCTTCGGCCGAACTCGATTTCGTCCGAAATCGGATATAGTCTGACCGTACAATTAGGCTGCGGTCACAGTGGCACCGACGTCGGCCGATTCGACCGACGACTGACGTCGGTGAAACTCGCCCGATTATTTTAAGTAAAGTAAATATAATACAAGTGGTCTCAGTGCCTCCGACCGCATCGGCCGATTACGCCGACGTCGGTTATCCATCGGACGAAATTCAATTTCGTTTGTTTATATCGGCCGATTCAGTCGACGTAATCAGTTGAAACACAATTAATATTATTTAAAAATATTATATTTTCATCATGGACTGCGAAAAATTAATAAGTTTGGTCCATGAAAGAAGGAGTTTATGGGACCCTAGCAGTAAATCGCATCATAACAGAGACGTCGCAAGACGTCTCTGGGATGAAATTGCTGTATTATTAAAAAATACAAGTAAGTACTATTCAAATTTTTAACTATATTATAATTTAATGTTATTAAACTAGAATGTAACTTTTTTTTATTAAATCATTCATTCTTCATTATATCGTGAAGATGAAAATAAAATAGTAGTTGGTAATAAAAATAGTTGGTTTCTTGTTTATAGAATTATAAATAGATTTCAATAGAGTGATTCAAAACTATTATAGCAATAATATTATGTAGTAGATTATAATATCATGGTTCAGTATAAAAATAACACAATTACACGAAATGTAAATAATCATACTATAGTACCTATACAACATGTATTTTTCCACCTTTCACTGTTATTAATTTTTATCAACATAAAATTAAATTACATACATTACAAATTTACTCTATCATTGAGTTTATTAATATTATTATTGTCTTTGAAGTACTGTTTGAAAATATCGCGTATTTCATACGCTCTTCGTGACGATCGATTAAAACGTCTCAAATTCGTGATATTGTGTTCTGTTTCGGAGCTGTGTTCAGCTGTCTGGCTCTGGATGTTAAATAATACGGACTCCTTTATACCATCCTTGTCTATCACAATATTATGCAATAAGCAAACAGTTTTAACAATAGTGTCTACATGACATGGTTCCACTTGCAGTTCAGTCTTTAGACATCTCCACTTACTCACTAGAATACCAAAGGCACATTCAACAGAACGTCTAGCTCTACTTAGGCGATAATTGAAGTTTTCTTTTTCTGGATCAATATTATTCATAGTAGGATACGGCCTCATTAAGTATTCTTTTAATGGATAACCTTGATCACCCAGAAAAACGTGGGGAACATGTTCATTTATCCCTGGTAATGGTTTAGGAGGTGCCACATTAAATGAATTGTTTTCCAAATGGCGGTAGACTCCAGTTTCCATAAACACACCACTATCACTTCGTCTCCCATAATCTCCTACATCAATCGTAATAAATTTATACCTGGCATCAGTAATACCTTGAAGATGTACGGAGAAAAATTTTTTATAATTGAAAAACATGGATCCTGAATGAGCGGGACATTTTATGCGAACATGCTTTCCGTCGATACTCCCAATACAATTTGGGAAATCCCACATACGTTCATAATCACTCGCGATTTGTTTAAATCTCTCAATAGTTGGAAGTGGCATGTGTTCTACATTTAATGTCATCCAAATAGCTTCACTCGTGTCATACACCTAGCTATACCTGGCTATAGCTGGCTATAGCATTATGAGATATTCTAAAGGAGAATGCCAAAGACCTGAAGGCCAGTCCAGTCGATAAAAACCTAAAACAGGAAAGACAATTTATCCAAATATAATTATATTATTAATTACAAAATTATTTATTACTATCAATATATAAATGTAATAATATTAATATAAATTATCATAGGCTGACATATCTCTGTTCAGAATCGTTTTTCGTATTCAATGATCCTTATAATTGCATTTAATACACCTCACTCGACACATACAACAGCAGAGCGAGTGCCCGATTTTTTTATATTTATATTTATTATTTGATTTTCACATTATCAACAAATAAGTTCTATGTTTAAAATATGGCTTCATCATTTCTTATTGCAGGTTCCGGAGTAAAAACTAAATGGCAGTATTTGAGAGACACCTATCGTCGAGAGCTTGCAAAGACCAATCAACTAACGGGATCCGCATCTGGTGGTGATTCGAAATGGAAGTATTTTCAGCTGATGGGTTTTTTGAACGACACATATGCATCAAGAGTCGTGGTTGGAAATCTGCCAAATCCTCAACAAAGTGACGGTGATGATGCTTCGGTGAGTGGAGGTTCACCCAACCAGAGCATGTCACATATTGACCATGAATTGATGAACTCACAATCAGGTGAACAAGAACCGGATGATCTACAGTTGGAAGAACAACAAACTGGTAAATCAAGCTGTTCTTCTATAACTCCGGGTGTGAGCCAAGTACCAAAAAAAATTTTCAAATCGCCCAAGAACAAATTTCGACAGAAAAAAGATGCTCTTAATGATTTAGTACAACTAGAAAAAGTAAAGGTCGCCCATTTGCAGGAACTGAAGAATAAAAAAGAAGATGAGGAAAAAAAAGATGAGGATTACTTTTTTGTTATGAGCCTACTTCCACATCTACGTGCAATACCGCTGTCTCAAAAATTACAAATGCGCATAAAATTGCAACAGGTATTGCTTGAATGTCAATCTATAAATCAAAATTGTACACCATATGATACTAGTATACCTGTAGCTAGTCCGCCAGACTACTCTAACTGGAGCAGTTCAGTTTCAACTAGTCCACAACAATGTAACTGGAATACCCGTAGCTACTCGCCTAGTGAAGTTGAACCAGTCCAACAAACAGTGAACCCAGATCAAGAACTTCTTACTAACTTTTTGCATTTCAAGAACGCATGAACATTTTTTAACGTATATTTCTAAATTGTATACATATATATTTTATAAAGTAATTATATGATATTTATAACATGTTAAACTATTACTCACACTACTACTTGTGATCACAGCTTAAAAAAACCTATAACCTACCTTTAACGAATAAATTAATTATGTTGTAATAAAAATTTTTCTCTCATCATTCCAGTGTTATGTTAATGCGAAATGTGTTGTTTTCCCAGTCAATAATAGTATCAAATTCATCTCACAGATATTTTATGTAGTATAATAATAAGAAAAAAGGGCGACAAGTTTTTACCGCTCTGCTATACAATACGTTATAAGTAAATCAGTATTATGGAATATATTATATTAAATTTGAATTCAATGATAGAAATTTTCATATACTTATAAATAGCTCAAAAATTCAAAATATTTTGAGAATTTTACGTATCTACAGTTATTAGTTTTTTAGATAAATCAAAAAAACTAAATTTATTTTGCGTAAAAATTCCCGGTTTTCCTTAATTTTTTGTTTGTTTTTTTCGACGCAAAAAATTACCTTTCAAAAGTACCAACTAGATTAAAACCACCCTTAAAGTTCAAAATTAAAGCATTATTTCAACTATTTATCGACAAAACTTTAAAAATTAAAAAAAAAACACACATCATTGTAAAATCAATATAAAATATATTAAACATACCTCAAAGTTACCATTAGCCTCTCTTCAGGTGATATACATCTTCGGAAGTTTGATTGCTTTTGGATTTTTTCTCTTATATTTTCCAATATATAATAAAAAGTTGATTTAGTCATTCTCATATAACTGAAAAAATCTTCCTCCTGCTCCAATAGTTGGTGAAACAATGTATGGAATTCTCCATATTTTTCCCTATCCTTAAAAATGTCATTCGTGTGATACTTTCGCTTTTTTAATAATAAATATTTAATAGCAGGACTTGTTTCCAAACACAAAAATGAGGGGACATCCATTTTATAAATTATAACCTGCACTCATTGCATTAAAATGAACAACTGTCGGTCAATTTTATCGGCCGACGTCTGATGCACTATGACCATCCTATCGGCCGATAAGATCGGCCGACGTCGGACGAAAAGTATCGGCCGGCCGACATCGGTGCCACTGTGACCGCAGCCTTAGCGATGAGCGGTGCGCGATGCGATGTTTATTTTTCAAGACGTCTTGAATTTTGACCGTTGTCATATTCGTTACTTTATTTATTTTCGTTAAATTTCATGAGATTAAATTCATTTTAAAATCACCATGTCTTCAAAAGTTCAGTTTACGAATGAGCAACGAGAACTATTAATTTCCGAAGTTCAATCAAGACCTATTTTGTGGAATGATCGGCATCCAGAATACAAAAAAACTGATAAAACCAACAAAATGTGGGAAGAAATAGGAAAAGTAGTTGGATTTTCAGGTAAAATAATATATTATATATTACTACAGTGCCGTTATTTCAGTTTTTAATAGAGGAGTTTGCGTATTTACCGGGCCAAATAGGTAACAAAAAACCACTCATAATCACACTTAAGTTAAGTGGCGCCGAATTACTTAGTAGGTGGTGCAAACACAAATTTTAACCACCCACCCATCCCTTTTTTACCTATTACTTCCTGCTAATAGGTGCCATGTGCAAATGCACCACCTAAAGTACGTATTTGGCGTCACTGCACATAACATTTTAATGTTTTTATTATTGTCATCTTGCATAATGTTCTATAATTTAAATGTGTTTGTTTATCAAATTCAGTGGCGTATTTTGGGGGGGGGGTCACCATTTCTGGAAACTCCCGAAAAAAAAATGAAGCTTGTCTTTTTTTATCAGTAAATAATTCTAAAAACGTGTTAATTCATACAACGAAACCTTTTTTACAACATAATTTACAAATATAATTAATTGGTTTTTAGATTAAGTTTTATCTTTTGTGTGTTAAAACTAAAGGGGAGTATGGTATACTGATATTATTATTGTTGTTGTACATAAAATAATAATAATATGTTTTTTATCTTACACACATCACACAAACACCAACCTTCATGCACGTGCTCATAATGGGTCTATATATAAAATAATATATACCAACAATCAATATTATTATTTATTAATAACCAAATTATCATTGTGACAACAATGTATAAGTCCAGTACACAATATAATATTTTATATTTTTAGATTCTGAACGGAGTGATAAATCGATAAATGTATTGATTTTACAATGAAGTGTGGTTTTTTTGTGTCCGTCAAGTGAATTGAGGCAAATCGTTTTTTTTTTTAATTTGGCTGTAACTAAAACTAAAAACATAAAATGCTCGAAATGATTGCTTATTTTTTTATTATTTTATAATAGAATACAATTTCTTCTTTTGTGTTTGAATTATATTTAACATTTATAAAAAAAAAGTTTAAATTATAGTTCGCATTGTCTTGTATTATAGTACATATCATTATTTTCGAACAGAAATATATTGTTTACCTACTGATAAACAAATTAATTAAAGTAAAAATTATTATGTTTTGAACAAATTAAAAAATTTAATGGTCCAAAAAAAAATTTGCAAATTCATCTCGAATTTCTTGTGCTCTTGTTGACCCTCTGCGTGCACCACCGTGGTTTCCTCTTTCATGTTGATTATTAAGTTAGTTTTCCTGAGTTTGACTGTGTAACATCTCTTGACAATAATCGAGATCACTATCTCCGTCTTTTTCGCGCACCACGTTATGTAAAATACAAGCACACTTAATAATGTGTACAGCTTTGTCAGAACTAACTTCAATATCTTTTCCTAACAATCGCCATTTGGCACGCAGTATACCAAATGCACATTCAATGCATTTTCTAGCAGCAGACAACCGTTTATTATAATTTTCTCTAATGGCATTCAAATTGCGACTTGGAAATGGTCTCATGAGAAACGTTTTTAAAGGATATGCTTCATCGCCAATGAGCACGTGAGGTAATTTAATTGTGGTTCCGGGTAAATCCTTATCAGGTGGTAAAAACGTATTTGATTGTATATGTTGAAAAAGTGTCGATGCTGCGAACGTCCCTCCATCACTCTGCTTACCTCTAGAACCCACTTCAATAAATATAAATTTTTTGTCTGCATCTGCTACACCTTGAAGAACTAATGAAAAATACTTCAAATAATTGAAGTAGCTCGAACCACTATTTATGGGACATTTAATTTGACAATGCTTGCCATCTATACATCCTATACAGTTAGGAAATTTCCAACGCCTGTAAAAATCATCTGAAATTTTTAATAACTGGTCTTGATTTGGAACGGGCATGAATTCATCAACTAATTCTTCCCAGATTATTTTACAAGTCTCGTGTACAATTTTACCGACTGTCGAAGCTTCCATTCTTAGTGTAACTGCCAAATTTCGAAATGAGAGGCCAGTAGATAAATACCTAACGAACAAATAGGTAATTAAATTAAATTAAATTAATTACAAATATATTCCGATTAATAAAACAGGTTAGCAGGCATTATTGATTTTAGTTAAACGAGAATATTTGCGCAAAACCAGTTTCCGACAAAATTTAATTTTTAATTTGGCTGTTACTCAAAAACTAAAAACTGTAGATACTTGAAATTTTTATCAAACGTTTAAATTGTCAGCACCTATACATAGTATAACTTTTAAAATATTTTGATTTTTTTTTTTAGCTATTTATACACAGTAGAAATGTTCAATTTTTCTTTGTTTTTTTTTTCAAAATGTCGATAAAAAAATTTATGTGGCAAAAAATTTTGAAAATTTAATACAAGGATTTTATATGTTATACTTATCGCCATAAAAAAAAATCAAAAATCTTTATTCACAATTTTTTTTATAAGCGTAGAAAGTTCAAATTTTTTATGAAATATGATTAAATTGTGGAAATTTAAAGTTATTTTGTAGTTAAAAATTCATAAAATATTAAGTATTACAAAGTTTTTCATAAGTTTTTCTTCAAACATCTGTTAAAAAAATTTACCGCGTTTGCCAGGGCGGGGACCGCCGGTGTGGATTGTCCACGGTCAAACCTATCGGAGGACCAACAATGAGGTGGCGCTTGCCCCGGGAAGTGCCAACAACTGTCAGTTGTATTTTTTGGAGTCCGGAGAGGCCAACCACCGGCGTCTCGATATTGCACGACAGAGCAATCATGAACTGTCCGAAATCGTCATAGAATTATTGGACGGTTTGCTGCGGGACATCAATCCGTATGCGATGGCTTTTATGTAAGAAAACCTTAACTATTGTATTTATTAACACTAGGTATGTGAATTGAGTAAATACTTTTCACACATACCTCTTTTACAGTGGATAAAAAAAAATGATTTAAAATAGTATAGATAGCAAACAGTTTTCTTAACTTCTGCTATTTACGCTATAACTAATAAGTTATTTGAAATACCTAAGGTACTTATTCATTTCAAATAATACATACAATTAAGGCGGGCAGTTGTTTTTGTATTTTTCTTATTATTATTATTATCACAACCATACCAACTATTATTAGATCAATGTAACCCTTAGGCCACGTGCACATTGGAAAGCGTTGCGCGGTGAGCGGTGGGCGATGTGCGGCGAGCGTTGAGCGGTGAGCTTTGAAGTGTGTACACTAAACAGCAAGCGAACAGCGTTGTCTATAATATAAAATACAATTTAAGATACAACTGCAGTCACCACCATGGTACTGCACTCTAAAGTTCGACGTATTTTGCTTATGGAAAATACATTTTTACAAAATCGCTTTCGAAGTAAAAAACATAAAAGAATTGGAGTTCACGAAATGAACAAAAAACGTAATGAATTTGGCGAGTTTCATCATATTTATAACGAATTAAGAAGTGATAGTGAAAGGTTTTTTAATTTTTTACGCATGTCAATAGAGACTTTTGACTTTCAACAGTCATATTATTATGAATAATAAATCAAAATGACTATGAAACATTAAAATTGTTTTAATGTGAATCAGCCAATATATTTATAATATGACCTACGTATTTATATAATTTTAATCTAATTTAAACTATTTTATTCTATGTAATTTAAATTCATATTTTTAACTACAAAATAAGTACTAAATAGACAATTAATACTATTGTCTTTTAGTATACTATAATAAGTTGTATTATAATTATTCTCTTCTAAGGTGTTTGAGTTAACAAATATAATTTTAGTTAATATTATGCCCTGGAACCTAATGCATTTATAGAATTATAGCATAATATGCTATGATTATAATTATACTATACTACTTGTATATAACTACATGTAGGTAGTCATAATATACCTATTATGTAGAAACTATGAACCGAGTATAGACTATAGCTGATAAATTATAACAACTATAGATAAAAAAAAAAAAACAATAATAATATACGTAATGATATATGAGAATAATTAAGAAGGTAAGTTTCATGTAACACACCTTGCGCCTACATATTGATAAATTGATAAACTGCTAGATTTATCATGGAGCGTAAACGCATAACGTGAACGCATAACGTAAACGCATAACGTATTCGCAAGACCTGCTTGCAAAAAAGCAAGCAACCAACGCATAACGTAAAATATGAATTTGTTTATTAAAATTTTTTATATTAAATGGATATGAAGGTAATGAGAAATATTTTTTTAAAAGGAGTGAAAAAAGTAGAAAAAGTTGGAAAAAAGGATAAAAAAAGAGGTGGATCTGTAATGAGAAAAGAAATGTCAGTTAAAGAAGCAGATGTAATACTTAAACTTGAGGATGTAGGTAATGGAACGGTTTGTAGGGGTTGTAAATAACAAACGACGACGAACACGTTAAGTAGGTACTTACGACGTATATTGCACAGGTAATATAAGTTAATCTTATTATAATAATATGCGTGCCGCGTTGACAACGGTCCGACGAGAGATGCCACCGTCGCCACCGCCGCTGGCCGGGCCGGCGGCCGTGCCGCAGGCGGCGGCCAGACCGGTTGTCGGTCGCGATCTCGCGGACGCCGATAGAGACACCGCGGCCGTTGCGATAACGACCACGACATACTCCCTCCCGAGTCCACGAGACGCGCCCGAGCAACCTAGTCCACGGGGAGGATGACCGGGTTCGTGGGTGTCACCTCCATGGCCTGGATCCACCGCTCCACCGCGGCCAGCTGCTGCTCCTGGGTGCCTGGATTTTGGGCTAGCTGGAGCTCTGGCTGTGTGGCGGGCGGCTGCACCACGGGCTGCTGAGCTTGCGGCTGTACTGCTGGCGGGTCGATTTGCGGCTGCACCGCTGGCCGCCTGAAACGGCCACGTCCATCCCGGACGTCGTGGCGCTGGTACGCCGGCGCTGCTTGGCGGGGTGGAGCCCTCCCCGGAGGTCCGGCCCGAGCCCTGGCGGATTCTGGCTGTGGGGTGTTTGCTCGAGTGGACCGGCGTCCCTCGGCGAACCCCCGCACGAATGATTAGTTGGTGTTCTCTGACGGTCCTACAGCTAGCTTCATCGCTGAGACATGTAACTTAGTAGGGTGTTTACCCTCCGTCAAGAACACTCCGGTCCCTAGTGGCTTACCCAACTTAACCGGACCTAACCATTTCGGGGCGAACCCCGCGTGAAAACGCTTCTCCGCACTTGACTGCGGATGCGCTTTGTAGTATACCCAATCCCCGACTGTCAGATTACTTCTTCCCGGGGATTCTAGGGGTATATGGGTACTGGGGGCTTTGGGGTCGGAGACCACCGGGTTACCCCTCTCTACCACAGTAGCATCATCCGGTTCCACCGGGGAGCCTTCAATTTCTACCGGAGGGTTCCGCACTGCTTCGGACAACTCCGGATCATTTTTGCCCGCGTCCGGAGATCCTTCGGCCAACTCGAGCTGCCAATCTCCGGGGGCCTTGATCTCCCGGCCAAACATCATTTTGGCCGGTGACTGTCCGGTGTTTCGGTTTTCTCTGTTTCTTACGGAGAACAACACGTGCGGCAGGTAGACATCCCACAGATGATGAGGCTTATCAACAAGTAAGGTTCGGAACCCTTTCTTCAGCTCTTGATTTTGCCTTTCTACCGGGTTGGCACGTGGGTGGTATATTGGAGTCGTCCATCCTTCCACTCCCCACCTCTTTAGTGCGTCTCCCATTGCCTTGGACACAAACTGCGGGCCATTATCTGACAATAATGCCCTCGGGTACCCGAACCGTGGGAACAACTCCCGTTCGAATGTATCCACAATCGATTTGGTCGTCGCCTTTCCTAGTGGGTACGCCTCTACCCAGCGACTGTAACAATCAGTTACTACCAAAATCGTGGTCTTACCCCGCTGTGTTCGTGGGTATGGACCCATAAGATCGATGATCAGCACCTCCCAAGGTTGCCGGGGGACTCTGGTGCATATCCGATCTTCTGGTTTGCGATTCAGTGGTTTTACACGTGCACAGACGTCGCACGCCCGCACGTAGTTACGCACTGCTTCACGCATAGCGGCCCAAAAGAAACGACTCTTTATACTTCGGTAAGTTTCTTTCCACCCTGGGTGATTCGCTGCTTCGTGGTCGTGAAACCTTTGTAGTAGAATCTGGGCCTTGTCTACCGGGACGACCACCCCCTCTTCTCCATGCGCGATGGATCGTGGGTGGCGGTCTAACACCTTGTCCCGGATGGCGTACAACTTCCGAAGCCGACCGAACCTTGCACCATCTCCGGAGAGTTTAGTAACTATCTCCCTTATGTTCGGGTCGTTTTGTTGCCACTCTCGGACAGCTTGCAATGTGACGTTTCCGTCATTTCTCTTCGGCTGGATCGCTCCACACTGGGTGACACCCACACCGGATCCTCCGGACACGCCGGACAGATCACCGAAGACTCCGGAAGTTCCTCCGGACACTCCGGGCCGAATCACTGGGGGATCGTGGATATTGTTCTCCAACGATTCTTCGTCCACTGTATTCGGTCCAACCGGACAACGGGATAGCGCGTCGGCTGCTTCATTTTCTACTCCGGGTACGTGCCGGATTTCAAAATCGAAAGCCCCGAGTTATAGCGTTAGTTTGCTGTTGGTACAGCGAGCTTGCTGTAACCATCGGAGTGCCGCGTTATCTGTGAATAACATAAACTTACCAGACTCAAGATACGGCCTGAACCTGTCAACCGCCCAAACTATGGCTAGACATTCACGTTCGACTGCCGAGTATCTTCCCTGTGCTGGATTGAGTTTCTTGCTGGCGTAGGAAATGATTTTCCTGTCACCACTCTCCCCCCGCTGGAAGAGCACGGCACCAACTCCGACTTCGCTTGCGTCGGTCTGTAGATTGAATGGCTTACCCGGAAGAGGAGGGCAGAGCCGTGCTGTGGACACCAAAGACTCCTTCAACTTCCGGAACGCCTCTTGCTCAATTTC